TATCATCTCTAAAATTTGGATAAGAACAGTACCTACCTCAGAGACATTATGAAGATGAAATGAGTTCATTTTTATAAAATCCTCAACAGAGTGTGTGGTATGTACTAAGCCTATGAGTAAACATTACTGAAATGTGTTACAAAGTGTTACAGCAGCAGTTGTGGATCCCAGAATCCAAATTCTAGGCCTGTGATTTTAATTCCTTAGAGAATTATGATCAGCTTCTATAAAATTAATGTGTAGTCTGAAAAAGTCAGACATTTTAGCTTGGAGATTAAGATAACTTTTGGCTGGATCTCAGATGAAAGAAAAATTTTACTTCTGTCTAGTGCTTGATAAATGGTAGGCTGGTCAATATTAATTTCACCTTTTTTTTTTTTTTTTTAACTCCTTCACTCATTTTTTTCCACTTGTCCATTCTTAACCCAAGGAGTTCAGGTACTTATAAAATACTTAATACCCAAAACAAAGTTACATTTTAGAAAGCTGACTGGAACCCTCTTTGGAAATAGTTGAGCTTTATATAAGTATAATACTTGTTTATGAATGAAATAATTAAATTGATCTCCTTTTCATTCTGCCATAGTCATCAGGTTCAATGGTTTTTCTCTAGGAAGCATTTATTTTTAACTCAGAATTTAAAGCAGTCTTTTTCTTTTGTTGAGGTTGCTGAACTGAGGTTGCCCATAGAAATGGAAATTCCTTAAAAAAACTAGGATACTTTTTTGCAAGTTGCTTCATATTGACCAAAGCTTGGTGGCTGAGAACTTCCCTCCTATGTCTGTCTTTTGTTGATGTTGTTCTCTATAAATTTCTGGCTCACTACTCTTTGTTTTTATATCTTTACTGTGAAGAACTGTTTATTTTTTTTATTAATTTTTAATCACCAGTGAATTATCAGAGATGGATTAAAATTCTTTATCCTTAACATCACCCTGAAAATTAGACTTGGGTCCTGTAATGGCCAAGTCCCTAACAGGTTACCAGAGATCTTTCCTTCTCTAGTATTAGAAGCATTAAAGCCAGTTGTATGCTTTGATAAAACAGTTTAATTCTGTCAGCCCTTCTGAAGGAACCAGTTCTTGACTCTAACAAGCTATACTTTTCGTAAAATGACCTAAACTTGACTGATACCCTTCTTAACCTTCCCTGAATGACACTGCTTTCTCCGTTCTTTAGAGGTAGAAAAGGGCTGTTGTTAATAATGTGAAGTGTGCATCTCTTCTGACTGAGGGAGATCTGATGATATAGTGCAGTGAATTACTCCAGATGGCTCTTTTACTCATAGTCTTCATTGTTGTCGTTAAGAGCCGTCGAGTTGTTTCTGACTCATAGCTAACCTGAATACAGTTTCCAAGGAGTGGAGTAGGTTTAAACCGCCAACTTTGTGGTTCAAACGGACTCTGCAGTTCAGTGTATTATCCTGCTGTACCACACCAGGACTGCAAGGAGTAGCTGATGAGTTTGAATCACTGACCTTCTGGTTCAAACTGACCTAGCAGTGCAGTGCTTTATCCTACAGCGTCACTCCCACCAAAAAACATTTTCTCGGATGCCTCTGGGGAAGAGAAGGTGGGAGAAGCTGCTGTGATTGTAAAAACTTGTAACTCTAACATGGGTATAAAATGAGCCATCTCAGAAGCAGGATCGTTCCACTGTCAAAAAAGAAGAGCCAGGAGTGAAGTGCATTCTTTAGATCCCAAGACCCCTGCACATTGAACCTCTTTAACCCAGGAGAGAGCATTGTGACACCAGAGAAATGGCAGAGGAACAGTAGCAGCAAAGCCAAGAACCAGAGCATGAGCAGAGTGCTGGACTTCCTGGCCCACAGAGCAAGTAAAGCTGGATGCCTTTGGGCAGGAGGCCTACTTGTGGAGTGTAGTCCTCCACTGCACTGAACATTTCTGACACTGAATTGTATTCTGTTAACTTCCTTAATAAACCCCACAATCATGGATATTGTTTGTGAGTTCTGTGTGGCCATTGCAATGAATTACTAAACCCTGTTGAGAAGTAGAGAGTGCTGTGAGAGGGATGGTTGGGAACAGAATTGATACAGGTTGGAAGGTGGAGGCATGTCTGACCTCAGCATCATAGGAATTGGCCTTGGGTTGATGCTGTTGGTGATTCTCTTCCTTCCGACTGGTGAAGTTAGAGGTAGACATCGCCCCCTTGCCATTTTTTCTGGTAGTGCAGTGGCTATGAGTTGGGCTACTAACCTCAAGTTCAGCAGTTTGAAACTACCAGCTGTTCTGCGGGAGAAAGATGAGGTTTTCTGCTCCTATAAAGATTTACAGGCTTGGAAACTCTAGAACCCCTGTGAGTCAGAACCAACTCCACGGAACATAATCAATCAATTCTTGTTTTTTCTTCTTCCTTCAATTTCCCTTTAAAAAATTGTGATAAAATATATAAAATAATTGCAAATATTGTATGACAGATAAAGACAAATAAGATGTATAAATACCAAAGTTTATTAACGATTATCAGGGGATGAGAGGGATGGGGAAAAGGATTGTTGACTGGAATGGGAAATGTCATTGATTAAGGGTAGAGTTGTTGTTGTTGTTCCGATGAATTGGAACTGACTAGATGGCATTTATAGCGTAGTGGTTACGACTCGGGCTGTGAACCTTAAGGTCAGCGGTTCGAAACTACCAGCCACTCCGCGGGAGAAAGATGAGGCTTTCTACTCCCGTAAAGATTTACACCCTCGGAAACCCTGTTCAGGGTCGCTATGGGTCGGAACCGACTCAACGGCACTTAACAACAACAACAAAGATGGCATTTAACAACAACACCATGAGCCTTGGTGGTGTAGTGGATTGCACGGTTGGCAGTTTGAATCCACCAGCTACTACACAGAGTTTCCGTAGAGAGTTACATGCTCTGAAACCCTACTCAGGGTCATTATGAGTTGGAGCTGACTCAATAAGCACAGAACAATGACACAACCATACAAACATGACTTAAAACCTCAAAACCAAGGAACCAAATCCCATGAGGCTTTTGGTTATACATAAGCAGCCTCCACAGCTACTTATTAAAAAAAGGTCACTATTGTAAATATATCACACAACTTTTGCCAGTTAAACCTTTTACAGGTGTACAACTTATAGCCAGTGAATACAATTATTGGAGTCGTGGTATGCACTGTGGGATAATGCACTGGACCGCAAGATTGGTTTGAACGACCGGTGGTTCAAATTCATCAGCTGCTCCTCAGAAACCCTATACAGGGTCGCTATGGGTCGGAATCGACTCAACAGCACTTAACAACAACAATGTGTGACAAACTGCTTCCATGAACAACTGTCTCCTTTACTATGTGACCAGAAGAATTGTATACCATTACTGAACATTTCCATAGATGAATACTGATCAAAAAGGGGGACATACAAAACAGAATTTCAAATTCTCATGTACTCCAGGGTTTCTGGAGCAATGGAGGCTGGATGAACCATCCTTGAAAATGTTGCTTTGAGATCATCTTTAAACCTTAAACAAAAATATCCCCTGAAGACTTCTTTCAACCAAACATTAATTTAGCTAACCTAGTAACCTATGCCTAGCTTGAGCATTATGCTTTTTCAAGAACTATATATATAGGATCAAAGTGACAATAGCAGCTCAAAAGATTAGATAAGAACCTTAGGGGACAATGAGTTTACATGAATGTGGAATGAACAACTCAGAAAAGGACAGCGAGCCATTGTTAATTGATTATATTCTTTGAATTGTGCAACCATTCTCACTCTCCTTTCCTGAGTTCAAACCCACCTTGGGAACTGTTTACCAGATCACTATAAATTGGAACCAACTCAACGACACTTAGCAACAATAATAGCAATATGTCCTTAGGCTGTTTTTTCCACACTGATTTTTGTGCTGTTTTGTTTTGTCTTTTCACACACTGTTCCTTTCCGCACCTTTTTTTCTTCTACTTTTTGCTCTATTTATATTTATATTTGCTGTACTTGTGCATAGTCCTAGGTCTGACAACAGGGTGGTATTGGATTAGTATTTGTGGAATGAATGAATGCTGCTTTATCTCATTCATGCTTATTGTAGATTCTGTCCAGATTTTCTTTCCATATGCTACAGTGTTTCGTTGATTTTCCTTGATTGTTCCTCTCCTCTACTTTATCTGAAAATAACTTATCTTCTACTTCCCACAGTTTTAAGACTAGATATTCTGGTCTTTCCACTCCTCTGAAACTTGAAAATGTGAGCCTGATGAACAGGGAGCAGTTTTTGAGGGGGACTGTGGCTTTGCTCTGTCTTTTGAAGTCCAGAAACACATCCTGTATAACCTATGAGTGTATCCCATTTCATGTGTGGACTTGTTCCCTGAATACTGTGCCTTAGGAGATGATTAGGTCTGGAAGCCCTGGCTGCCCTGGGGGCTCCTGAGGTACTTCTAGGGGCTTTACTCTCAAGGCTTTCTTTCATTGACTATTCCCCACTTGTCTTTGTTCCAAGTTGGGGGTTGAACAGTGCTAAGAATTCTTATGATCATGCAATTTGCCTTTTTTTCTTCGTAGTACTTTGGAGGTGTAGAATCATGAGTAGGAGCAGATCTGAGTCTTACCTTTCTGGAATCAATTTCTTCATTAAAATAAGTATTCGCTACTTAATTCTTTGCTGCTACTGCTTGAAATGTATCCTATGGGTTTGTACTCCACTCCTGGTTTGGTTGCCACTAGTGAAATTTTGATTAGCTTGTATTATGTGTTGCCTACTTTGTTAGGTGATAGACTCTTTGCTGTGATGCTGTAGGGTCAGCACTGGAATCTGAACCACAAGGTCAGTAGTTCAAACCCACCAGTTGCTCCTCGGAAACCCCGTACAGGATTTGGATAGGGTTGGAAACAACTTGCTTGCACTTAACAAACAGTAACAACACTTTATTAGGTGGATGGATAAGGAAAGTTTGCGATATGATTTGATTCTGCTATTTTTACCAGGAAGAATGTCCTTCCATCCTATTTTTAACTCTCTCAAGCTCTCTCAGCCAAGTCCTCTTCATAATCTCTTCCTTTAATAAAAACAAAAACAAAAAACTAAACAGAAGAGAGGGTTAGAACTTCTGTTTCAGCCTCCTGACTGTTACCGGAGTCACTCTGAAGGAGTTGCCAGACGCCACATGGGTTGTAACAAAGGAAGGACTTTATTGTGCTAGCACATGGCTCAGTGGATTCGTATCCAGAGGCTGAGCTCTGTCTTCCCTATGTGAGGATATTTTATAGGGAATAGGGGTGCATACATGAGTTCATTTGGGATTGGTTAGCGGGCGCCAACAGCTTCATGGGGCTACCTGGGATTGGTTGGTTCAAACATACAGTGGGGAAGGATGTATGAGCATACAAGTGAGCAGTTACAGAAACACATAAACATTAGCTCGGGGCTCTGTTTATTCCCAGAGGTGGGTCAAGAACAGGATATTAGCCTGGTCAATCACATGAGGCTGAGGTGGACTGTTGCTTATTTCCTGGAACATGAACTTTGCTCCAGGAATGAGGACGTGTGGGGCCAGCACCTATTTCCGCAGGCCTACCTGCCTCATTCCCCTCTTTGAGGCCCATGCAGCTAGATAGCAAACTAGTGGGCCTCACTTTCCTGGATGATACTTTTTAGGTTAGTGGGCACAGGCAGATTGATATGTTGCCAGAGTATGCAGGAAGTAGTTTTCTTTTTTGCCCTTGCTTCAACTATGCATTTTAGTGTTTTGATAGCCAGTGGAAGGAGGCATGGGATGAGCAGACATCCCCTATGATGATCAGAAATCTTCCCACCAGAGTTTTGAATCCTCCAATGCTGAGAACTCACCGGCCCATAATGATTCAGGACTCCATCCATGCCAAGTTCGCACAGGAACATGAGCTAGTTTTTGGTTCTTTTTCATAATATCCTCAATGGCTCGTCCTTGATCATCTATCTGTAAGCAAGTTTGTCAGGTTAATTTTTTCACACACCCCTGCTTTTTGAACCAATAAATAGTCTAGGGCTAGTTTGTTTTGATAAACAGCATTTCTGAGTTGAGTTTGTTGCTGAGCTAAGAGGGTTAAGTCTCTCCCAGTTTTATCGGTTATAGGTTCAGTTACCTAGGAGGGTGCCCTCACATTTATAGTAACTATTGAAGAGTAGTGTGGTGGTCACAGTTTGGCCCTCCTTGGTAGGCCATAGATTATACAGATTTTCTCCATTTCCTACACCCCAAAGTCTAGTTAAGATAAGTCCCATGGTGGACATCCTCATGCTTTGGCTGTGCATAGATCAGCCAGCTCCCGGTTTGTGGCTGAAGCAGGGCGAGTTGTATGTCTCAATGGTACCTTGCAAGGGTCGGTAGGGTCCGTTTCAGCTTCCCACGGAGAATATGCTTTTTTCAGTTTGCTGTGGTGACTCCAGGTGGGGATTTCTTTTACATTGTATGCTCTTGGGTGGTCAGGATGACAATCAGCTGTCCTCGCAGCTTGGGTTTCAGTGGGGTCAAATTCCAGTTCCTCACCCACACCAGGTTAGCTGGGCTTGGGATCATTTCTTGTTCCAGTCCTCAGTAATTTTTGCAGATGCTTCTGGATGCTCTCCCAAAAGAAAGAAATCATACACATTTATTACACTCTGATCTAAATAAACCCAAACATTTTCATCCTGTTGAAAGGAATAATGTCTTGTGAGAGTCCCATTGTAAAGAGCAGGAGATACATTATTTTAAGGGGCCTCTTCTTATCTTTAGTTGGATTTCTCCAGCTGCTTCTGATGTCCAGGTGGTCCTGTTGACTGACGGGTAAGACTTGATTCTGGTATGTGTACAAGTTTTGAGTCCAGCTAACTTGACAGCTGACGGGGTGACTAGAAGGACTTCCCAGGGCCCAGTCCATTTTTTTTTTTTCTAATTGGTTTTCAGGACTGTCTCTCTACATTCTGAGCAGAACATGATCTCTAGGCTGGAAGGGGTCAGGTTACCTGTAGGGAAGGAAGCAGACCTGGGAAGAGCACTTTTACGAATAATAGAAAGTGTGTGGTGGAGGTGTTGTGCATACCAGTGCACCTTTAAATCTTGGCTGAGGTCAGTTAGAGGGTTGAGGGAAGCTTCCTGGGAAGTTTACTATATACAATTTTATAAGGGCTCAATTTAAGCCCACTTCTGGGGGCTACCGGAATTCAAAACAGGGCTAAGGCAACACTTAGTCCCAATGTAAATAAATTTCCTAACAGTTTGCCACTTGTTTCTTTAGAGTATGGCTCATTATCTTGAATAGCCATGCTGAATGCAATCTCCATTTCATCTGCAGGTGTTTACTGCTCTGTTACTTTAGACACTTTTGGAAGTCCAAACTTGGAGATAATCTTCTTCAAGAGGATTTTCACTATTTCTCAAGTTCTTAGTTCTGGTGGGGGAAAAGTTCTATCGAACCAGAAAAGGTGTCTACAAAAACAATATCAGTAAATATTTAATTCCCCTGCTTGGGGGCATCTGTATGAAATCAACCTGTCAATTTCAAGAGGTTGTTTACCTTGATATTGGTGCAGGACAGCCTGTCTTGGGATTGTTCTTGAGGCAGGTAAAACAGTTAAAGCTAATGTCCTGAATGATTTTTTTTTTTTTAATGTCTTGCCCTAGATCCAGGGCCTAATGAACCAAACCAGAGCCTCTTTCCTGTAGTGGGTCATTTCATGGACTCATTTAAGTAGAGCAAGGGCTAGTTTTCATAGGATCAGAACTATTTTCTTACCATTTACTTTTTAGCTTTTAACCTCTCAGAACCAGAACAATTTCATCGTCATTTACTTTTCATCCTTTAACCCGTCTCTCAAATCCTTCTGTCTCAGTTCTACTCAAGTCCTGTGGGTACACAATCACAGTCTGTCTTGCTAATATTTCTAATGCCCTTGTCAGTGCAATCAGTTCAGCTTTTTGAGCTGAGGTCTCTGGCAGGAGGGCTACTGCCTCCACCTGGTCTTGTAAGATTACTATTACACACCCTGCTATCTGAGTCCCTTTCTCCATGTAACTACTTCTGTCCACGAACAACATCTAGTCCACCAAATATAGTCAAACAGGTCAGGTTGGCTGGAAAATAGTTGGTGAATGATTTCTAAACAATCATGGTTCAGCCCTCCAGTTGCCACATCAGGGAGGAGGATGGCAGATTTAGTCGCCCCATAATTCACAGGGTAATATTTGGATTGTCCAGCAAAATAACTAGATAATGCCTATTTGTCCTGTTGTGAGTCATAGGCTTTCCTTCTTTTGCAGCAGGAAGATGATCTGATGGGTACGGTGATGGGCTTGGCCAGAGCAAATTTCTCAACCCCTTTTCTGAGAAGTTATTGGTTTCTGTGGGATGGTCAGCTTCCAGGCTTCAGTCAGACTTAGACGGGGGGATGCGTCTTGGCTCTACCCGAAGTTCCGCTAGCCCACATGAGGGGTTTTCCTGATTTTCTCAGGCCAACGTGACTGGTTTCCAGAGTTTAAATCAGTAATTGCCAGGCATGTTCATAAGGAACCTCCATCTGCTGACTTTTGGTTTCAGGAAGCTGTTTGACTTTGGAAGCAGGTCCTGGCCCAGTAAGGGGACAGTGCAGTCATTTTCTTTTCCTCAATGAAACAGTCTAAAGATTTCAGGAAGAACTGGTTGGTCCTCAGGCCTCCCTGAATTGTCAGTCACCATCAATGAACAGAACGATGGGAAATTCAGAGGCATGCTGGCCACTGAATAAATGGTCTCAGTGTCCACCAAAAGTCCAGTCTGTTCCCCATTGTTATTTTCAGCCAAGTTTCCTGTGGGGGTGGGGAGTGGCGGCAATAGGGGTGGCAGAGGTTGATGCCAAATCATGCTGGACCTGCTTCCCCCACCCCCAGTCACTGTTAGTCTTCTGCAGACAATGAAGCTTGTTCAACCATCTGTTGAGTTGGAGGATGGCTTTTTCTGCCAGATCCTCCCCTGAGATTTGGGCATTCATTTTTCTTATGTCCATGTTTTCGCAATAAGTCCATTGGTCCTTGTTTAAGGCCCTCTTTTCTTTCAGGGGTCCTCCCTGGGGCCCTACAGGCTTACCTCTAGTGGTCTTTAGGAAGACAGTTACGGCCTGAGACTTCTTGTGTTCTCGGCTGTTAAATGCCTCAAAGGTAATGTCCACCAGCTGGGATGGATTCATGCCAATTGTTCTGTTGAATTTCTGCCGTTTCTTTCTAATATCCAGTTGCTTTGGGAGATAAAAGTCATGTTAACCAATTGGATATTTGCTGAGTTCTCAGGATCAAGGTCGGTGTACTTACAGTAAGCCTGGCAAATTAATTCAAAAAATTCAGACGGGTCCTCAATTAGCTTCTGCTTAACTGCCTGTACCATGTTCAAGCGCTTGTTTAGGAACTCCCTTCTTCAGACCTGTGAGAATGCACCTTTTATAATGCTCCAGCCACAGCAGGCACAGTTAGATTCCAATTTGTGTCAGCTACAGGAATTGCCTTGACTGGGGTGAGGGTCCCCTTCAGGTTTTTCTCTATGGATGCATGCTGCTTCGTCCCATGCCTTATCTCAGACCAGCCTTCTTTCATCTCTGGTCAGGAACATGGTCAAAAGAGCCTGAATATCTGCCCAATTAGGATGATGGGTAGCAAAAATAGTGGTTATTAAATTTGTCATTTTGGTTGGGTCATCCTGGTGTGGCACTGTGGGTCAGTGCACTGGACCACAAAGTCTGTCCGAACCGCAAGGTCAGTGGTTCAAGCTCACCAGTTGCTCCTCGGAAACCCTACACAGGGACACCACGAGTCGGAACTCACTCGATGGCACCCAACAACATCTTATTAGGAAGTATTTGAATTTTTCCTATTTAACAAGTCCGATTAAGATAGACAAAGGAGTATGTGTCCAGTAGTACCCTGCAGCTTGCCCCTTCGTATTCAATCTTAATGGGCATCTGTGGAGGGGTTATTGCTCTGCCTCTGTTTCAGGTAACACTCCACCAAAATGGGTCCTTTGAAGGCTATGGTATAGAGAAGTCACTTCCAGACTGCTTTCCTCAGTGACTGAATATGACTGGGCAGGTTTTCTAGGTCAAATTATATTTTTCCCTAATGGCAGCTGCTTTGTTTTTGGACAGGACATTCCCTGTCTTTTTAAGACAATGCTACAATGCTGAAAACAGAGAATATCAAAAGATGTTTACCTGTGCTTTATTGACTACGCAAAAGCTTTCAATTGTGTGGATCATGACAAACTATGGACAACATTGAGAAGTATGAGTATTCCAGAACACTTAATTGTACTCATGAGGAATCTGTACCTGGACCAAGAAGCAGTTGTTCGAACAGAGCATGAGAAT